AGCTCACATTGACTGATCATAGAGTATTAAACAACATTATTCTTGTCAAGTAGGCAGTACTGGTTGGATTCTATCGACATATTTGCAATTAGGTCATTAGTGATTTATTTCATGTTCACTCTGTTTATATTTTGAGTGGTTGGAAACGGTTTACAGGAGGCCTTTAACCTAAGTTTCTTCCTAGTTAAAACATATCATCAAAGCGAACCTACAGTTTTGAGGGAAATCAGGGGTAACCTCTCAGACTGGAAAGCTGGATGAAATGGGTTAGTGTCCTATAGAGAGCGTCAATCCCCTCGTGATTTCACGTGACATAAGCTGACAAAAATCAACTAGTGTGAAAACTAGGTTTAGGGCATCTAGCAAACTATTGTTCTCATTCAATAAAACTATCAAAATTCCCATAAAAACATCTCCAGAATACTACTGGAACCAGTTCCGTTTCGAATGTTTGTGTCGTTAGGTAAACAATTCGCAACTTATCCACCACAAAATAATTGACGCATTCTACATGATCCGCATTCGTCACTCAACATTGACAAGCAATTCACATATCGGATTGCTACCAATGATCGACATGCGAGTACCAACAAGATTTTTAATCCACTTAATATTTACATCCGTGGTACAGAAGGTTTAATCTACCTACGTACGCACATTTAAACAGAAATTAAAATGAAAGTTACAGAATAACTATCTTTTTTCGAAGATGTTACTTTGCTGTCTGTGTTATCATATGTATTTGGAAAGTAATAAATAAACCCACTCAATGGCCCTAAATATATACTGCACAAAAAAGACATCATATTTCTACAGAAAAACTAATGACTCAATAGGAATTAGTTTCAAAGTTTAGTGTTGACATCAATGGCCACTAGTTTGAAATGAATCCAACTGGTTGGTTCCAAACTAAATATTATGTAAAACAATGTAATGTATAAATCTTAGATTCCACAAGTAACCAATATAAAAGCAGCATGAGAATGCAGATGATAACAAAGTGGAATATACACAGGAAGCTGGTTAATCAGAGGTCATAACGAAATATAAATCAGTTAATTAACAGTCAGGGCATAGGAAATCCTTTACTGAATTTAACTCAATTTAAGATCAAAATGAGCTGGATTTTTGAAACTAATTTGAAAACAGGTTACCAAATGGTTTTTTAAATTAAAACTGGTATTGAGAAATTGTGTTAGTCGTAATTAAAGTAATTCGATTCAAGTAATGTAGGCCGAGGTTCATAGATGTTCGGTAGTTGCGAAGGGAACATAAAATCAAAGTTGCAAATTGAGCTAATTAAAATAATTCACTGAAAAGCATGTAAGAGTATTGACAAAATCTGGAAAAATTCGAAATCCGTTTCTCAGACGTTCTCAATTTAAAATTCATTCACTCTGGTACTTACAGTAAATATGTGTACGTTTTTCTGGTGGATTAACATTTTAAGTGCATGATTATAGCTACTGAAAGGTTAGTTAGTAACAAAAGAATTTTCGCAAAATAATTATGAAGTCAATTTTAGGAATTTACATTTTGAAGATATCAAGTTAGCTAATTTTCTGTTTTATTTAATATCATTTCTGAAGTAAATTTCATTATCAAAGGCTTTGACGAAACGCTTTGGTCGTCCTTCACATATTTTAATAAGACTGATTTGACATAACAGTACATTTGAAGTTCTATCAAAACAGTCGTAAACAAATTTCAGGACCTGGATGTTAAGTTCATGTTTTTTTAACCCTCATTATTGAGAATTATCTATCTGATGTAATCTGGTTACTTTATTACCATAACATTGTATAATGAAAACTAGAAAGATAAATAAAGTCGTATTTTTTCATAAGTCATGAGATATTCCGGTCTTAAACTGTCTCATATAATTAGTACTAGTCCCAGTGATTTAGAGAATCACTGGTCTTACAAAACCACTGAATAATCCAAGGGTTTGAAATATGTACAAGCATTTTAAAAAAATGCCTACGAAAAGTATTTAATGTCTGTTAACCGGAAACCACCAGTAACACACTACTGTGAGAGAGAACAAACCAGCTTCCAGTTGATGAGAAAATTAAAAACGGTATTTGGAGGTGGATAGGGCATACATCGTGGATATCATCAGATCGCATCACGAGACAGGCACTAACTTGGAATCGTGAATGGAAATGGAGATGTGGAAGTGCAAAGAACACTTTGAGACGAGAACTGGAAGTAGACATAAAAAGTATGAATAGCAACTGGAGGCAAATGGAAAGGATTGTCCAGGACAGAGTTCGTTAGAGAATGCTGGTGTGTGGTCTATGTTACTGAATGAAGGGTATCAGGCATAACTAAGTATGAAATATACACCAAAATTTCCAGCTCTGATAAGCTGAATACATACTGTTTGATCACTACCAAAAGTATAAAGCTGTAGGATAATATCTTCATGTACCAAGTAAGGTTACTTTGAAGAGTTTCTTTAAAAACTAATCAACTAATAGAGTTTTTTCTATTTCTAAACTAACAATTTTCAGGTATTCCCGTTTTTAGTAGCAACTTATTAGAATTTACTGTGTCCTACTACTTTCTTGAATTAGTATCAGACTTCATTTGCTATTCCAGAACATAATCTCAATTAAAATATGAATTCAGTTTATCACGAAATTTGTTAGATAGACTACTTGAAGGATGGTAAATTTTAACAAGCCAAGGTCTACACTCATACTTTATTGGTCTTGATCATCCTATTACAAAGCCTGCTACTTCACTAGTCAGTAGGCAGTTTTATATCCTTCCTGTTCTTTTCTGTTGTATAAACTGACCAGGCATTATAAGGATACATCGTCTGTTAAATCAGACCACATATCATACCACAAGATTTCAGATAAAACGTTAGTTTTTAGTGTAGAATCCTAGAGGAACGCTGATAGATATCCTTTAGAAGGGTATCTGAAGAGGTTTCTTAGGACGAAATATTCAATAATTCCATTCTCTCCGGTGAAATATATAGGAAAAATAAGAAATTCAGCCTTATAGTCAGCATTCGATATCATCCATATGAGTCAACCGAACCTTTAAAAAGATCTCACTTTAGACTGTTACACTGCGAAAGTACCAATCAAATACAATTTGAAATCATAATTTTATGAGGAATATAAGTTTCTTTTTTCTTACAGTCAAACGATAGATTACAGAGTCAGAATTTTTTGATTATTACTTTTAACAATTTCATTAATCTGTAAATTTCTTTAACAAAAATTCCCTTTTAATACACAGTTGCATAAATCGTATAGTGAATTCGTTCAAAAGAACTCTCCGATTAAACTATTTCTTGCATAAATCTAAGGCGCGCGATCTTTTTATTTGTGACTCGTCGTTTGAATGTACCCACATCTCAGAGTTGGTATTCACTCCAGGATTCATACTTAGTACCTTTTACCTCAAACACCTTACATGATATCTAGTTAGGTACTGAGTTCAGATACCCGCTCGCTTGAGCAACAAACATGAGTTTGTATTTTATTTTTGATGATATTAGATTATTCTGATATTGATAGTTTCGACTGAGTTTAAATCCCAGAGTGGATATCAACTCTAAGATATAGATACATCCGGTTGGATGAAACTTGCATACTTTATCTCACCGCTAACTACAATCCATACTTTCTATAAAACTTGTGAATTGATGGCTATATTGAGGCAATCCTCATAGGATCCTTATATACCAACCAAGTATATTTCGTTTACGTGTTTAACATTGAGTGGAAATTTCATCAAGTTGTTGGCTAAGGACTATGAATAATTGAAGTTAAATTAACAGTTTTAAACAAAATTGACCTCTGGAATAAAGTACTAGATAAAATAATTGCAACAAGTGAAACACCAACTACATTTTATTGCATCAATAAAATGTATGATGAATTATTTATCATGTGACAAATTTCAATAATAATAAGAAACGATCAGCCATCTTTAGTATTATTGTATAATAGAAATGATAGATATTAGTATGGATCTTTCTAATTCATCTGTACAATTTCAACACAGGAAATTCTCTAATTTATTGAAATCATTTCTGCTGTATGGAGGGAGTGAATAATAAACCCCATGGAAGTAATAATGAGTTACTGATCGACTGATAAAAACTATGCCGTCATGTAATATCGTAATAAACTTCTGTCACTCACTCTCTCTTATATTCATACATTGTATATGTATTTCATTTATAAAAGAAGAAGACAATCGAAAAACTTAGAGTGGACAAAATAAAATGAATTCATTTAATTCCACAATGCTTGTAGCTTCGCCACATAAAATATGGATATTCAAACTAATGTTTATTTGATTGTCAATTGGCGTCATTATATTATTTTCAACGAAGTTTTGCATTCTATTGTACTCTAATTAGTGACATTTCCAAATAAAATGAGAAAATTCATGTATCATTTATTGAGGATCCTACTGTACTGATTAATATCTGTTGGATAATCTAATGGGTATCTGAACTCAGTAGTTCGGTGGATAATAGGTTGGTGTTTTTTTAACTGAATGGTAATGGGTTCAAGTCTGAATGCAACCATTAATAGCCATTCTCCAACTTTAATCATAATGCCTAATGTTATGAGTTAACTTCATATTATCAAAATTTCAAATTATCAGAAATAGGAAAATAATAAGTAAATAAACAATAAATAAAAATACAATGAAAGCCAAGGTTTAGTTTTATTCTTTTTATACTTTCTAATCTAGGAGTACAATCAGTTATCGTACTTTATTTCATAAAAATCTGGTAGATAGAACGGAGTCATGCATTTTTAGATGATTTAAATGAAATCAAACGATTGGTGAATAAATAGTATCCGTATTAACTTGTATTTCTGTTAAATAGTATTATCATCTACTCATTATATAGTTTGTATTATTTGGAAAAGTAAGAATGATGTGATATCATTTGTGTGGAAGTTAAGCTCAACTATTCTCTATTCTTCATCTACTGATATGTTATAAAAATATTAAAAATGTTATCAATGTATTTAAAACTTCGTATTGTTACAACTATTGAAGGATTTATTGGGACTATATTAAATTTATTAACATTATTTATTGTATTTAAAACACAATTTGGTTCAAAATCTACAACTTTAATGTTAAGATTACAGACAATATTTGATTGTACTGCATGCTTTTTATATGCAATGTATTCAGCAACAGAAAATGAAAATTTACTAAATAATAAAAATCCAACTGATATTTCATTTATCAATGAATTATTATGCTATTTATGGTCATATAATATTGCATTTTGGTCTGGTGTTATATTAAGTGTTCAGAATATTGTATGTATTTCAATTGATCGATTCATAGCAGTTCTATTCCCAATTATTTATAAAACACATCAATTATTATTAATTATAATATTTATTACTTATCAATTAGGCATGATAGGATTATTATTTACACCAATAATATTTTTTAGACGTTTCGATAATGATACATGTATTTATGTACCTGGACCAAATGGTATTGATTCATCAACATACATTGCTTTTCGTGGATATACATGGTTATCATTTCAGTATATAATTCCAGTATTGATTATTACAATTAGTCATCTTTCAATTATAATAAAATTAAAAAAGAGACAATATCAATCTAAAACTCTTAGACCAATTGAAGTTTCATTACGGAATAAAGGATGTGAATTGAATGAACAAAAAAAGTTGAATAAATTAGTCCTTATAACAGCAATAATGTCTGGTCAACAAGCTACATTACATTTATATGAATCTATACGTTATTTTTTGACTATGTTAAATATTGTAATTTTTGGTTATGGTACTATTGGACAACAAATGGGTCCATTTTTAATAGTATTAAGTAGTTGTATTAATCCATGTATCATTATTGGAACAACAGTATCAGTACGTAGACGATTTTCACATTATCTGCATGAAATTTGGATAAAAATTAGACGGGGTTAATGCGTTTAACATAATTTTCATAACATTTACATTATTTTAGACAATGTGATTCAAAAGAAGGAAATTCAAGTGTTGAATGGTTATATCAACTAAATGATTCAATTCAAGTACAACATCACGTGGATCTTAATCTAGATGTGAAAAATAATGATAAAAAGGTTCATTTTATCATTAAATATAATTTCAGCTGTTTATTTATCTAATTTATTCTTGGAATTCCAAGGGTTAATATTCAATTTGTTTTGAAACATTTGTGACATACTCTAAAGAATATTTTATGAATCAAATTTCTATTTCGTTAATTAATCATGTTTTTAATTCACTGAGCTGGTGTAAATTAGTTACTACATAAAGTTAATTAGGTAAGACTATAGTTTATGGACGAACCAATCACGTATAAGATAACAGGTCTCGAATTTTGGGACGAAATTCACTCATTCATTTTGATAAATAGATTTTTGGCATTATAGCTGATGTCACTTCGTGATGAAAACCATAAATCTTATTTATAACCCTAACCGTCAACTATAAATCATAATTATCATTCCTCTCACAGGTTTATAACCCTCATTTGGTCCTGGTCATTAAGTGGACACTCTCAATGTCAGTCTAGCGTCGCTCAAAGGTCGTCTATAAATTGTAGACTCATCATTAATAACTGTAATACGTGATGTAGCTTGAATGTACCAGTCTACATATATATTACATTTGTGGAATATGTTGACTCACAAGAAAGTGGTTAACTGTAGTAGAATGATAAGTTCTTATCAGTTAAGTAAACTTCTAAAATCATTTCTCTAAAAATCGTTGACACACCACATTAATTAATAAAGTGAAAATTTTTCTTTAGAAATTAAATCAATGTTCATCAACTATATAATTTTGTAATACTACTTCTAAAAGGCTGACTTCAGTTTAATTTTATAATAAACATCTCAGTTAGGATCACACATTGAAATAATCATCTAAAATTTATTCTTTGATTCTATTTTAACACGAAATTAAGAGTTTTCGTGCACTTGTAGATTCAGACAGATATTCATCAATGTGACAACTGATCACTAATAAAAAGGCCTGACTGATTGATCAGTATAAAGAACACAATTCTACGGATAGTAGCCAAGTCCTTTGAATAGCTCAGGGATATAATATCTAACTATGGTTACTTACTTACCCCTGTTACTCCTCGTGAAGGAGCATAGGCCGCTCACCAGCATTCTCCATCCAACCCAGTCCTGGGCAGTCCTATCCAGCTCCTTCCAGTTGTTATTCATCATTTTCATATCTGATTCTATTTCCCAACGTAATGTGTTCTTTGGCCTTCCTCTTTTCCGCTTCCCTTCAGGATTACAAGTTAGCGCTTGCCTCGTGATGCAGTTTGATCAGCAGCGTAATGTATATCTCATCCATTTCCATCGTCTTTTCCTAATTTCCTCTTCACCTGGAATCTGGTTTGTTCTCTCCCATAGTAGGCTGTTGCTGATAGTATCCGGCCAATGGATGTTGAGTATCTTGCGCAGACAACCATTTATAAATACTTGTGCCTTCTCGATGATGGTTGTTGTAGTTCTCGAAGTTTAAGCTCCGTACAGTAGAACTGATTGCCTTGACGTTCGTATTGAAGATTGTGACTTTGATATTTGTTGAAAGTTGTTTTGAGTTCCATATGTTCTTCAATTGTAGGAATGCGTCCCTTGCTTTGCCAATTCTCATCTTTACGTCTGCATCTGAACCTTCTTGCTCATCGATGATGTTTCCCAGGTACGTGAAGGATTCCACATCTTCCAGAGTTTCGTCATCAAGAGTGATTTGATTGCTGTTCTCCGCTTTGAATTTGAGGACCCTGGTTTTCCCCTTGTGTGTTTTGAGGCCTAGTGATGTAGAGACTGCTGCTACACTGGCTGTCTTTATCTGCATTTGTTTATGTGTGTGCGATAGGTGGGCTAGGTCACCTGCGAGGTCCAAATCGTCTAATTGGTTCTGAGCTGTCCATTGTATCCCGTGTTTTCCCTCAGATGACGAGGTCTTCATAATCCAGTCGACCACCAGAAGAAAGAGGAAGGGAGAGAGTGAACAGCCTTGTCTGACTTCGGTCCATACTTGGAATGCATCTGTCAGCTGTCCTCCATGCACTACTTTGCACTGTAGTCCGTATAATGTTGACAATCTCCACAGGAACTCCGTAGTGTCGAAGAAGTCTCCATAACCTCCTCCTATCTACACTGTCGAATGCCTTTTCATAATCGATGAAGTTGATGTACAGTGACGAGTTCCACTCAACCGATTGTTCGACGATGATCCGTAGTGTTGCAATTGGGTCTGTGCACGACCGATCCTTACGGAATCCAGCTTGTTGACCTCGAAGTTGGGCGTCTAGTGAATCTTTCATCCGGTTCATCAACACTGTTGAAAACATTTCCTGGTACTGACAGTAGTGTGATGCCTCTGTAGTTTTCACATTTGCTCAGATCTCCTTTCTTTGGAATCTTGACGAGGTGTCCTTCTTTCCAGTCCATCGGCACATGTTCCTCCTCTCAAACCTTCGTGAATAGAAGGTGAAGCATGTTTGTAGTTACTTCGATGTCTGGCTTCAGTGCTTCAGCTGGTATATTGTCGGGTCCAGCTGCTTTTCCGCTCTTGATTTGTCTGATGACCATTCTGATTTCTTCCGTCGTTGGTGGATTGACATCTATAGGAAGATCTGTGTGTGCTGCTTCGATGTTCGGTGGATTCATTGGAGCCGGCCTATTCAGGAGTTTTTTGAAGTACTCTAGCCATCTGTCCAACTGTTGTTGAATTTCAGTGATTGGCCTGGCTTCTTTGTCCTTGACCGATCTCTCTGGTTTACTATATTTCCCTGTTAGTTTCTTCGTTGTATCGTAAAGCTGTTTCATATTTCCTTCCCTTGCAGCTTTTTCCGCCGTCGTTGCTAGTTCTTCCACGTATTTCTGCTTGTCGGCTTTAATGCTCTTCTTCACTTGCTTTTTTGCTTCTATGTACTCAGCTTGTGCTGTGACTTTCTCTGCGTGTGTTTGGCTGTTGTTAATTGCTGTCTTCTTGTTCTTCCTTTCTTTGATCCTGTCTAGTGTTTCTATAGAGATCCATTCTTTATGATGGTGTTTCTTGAGGCCCAGAACCTCTTGACACGTTGAAGTTTATGCTTCCTTGATGCCTTTCCAGTTGTCCTCCATAGTAGTTTCTTCTTCCTTCAGTAGATATTGTAAGGCTTGGAACCTGTTGTTGAGAGCATTCTTGAATTCACTGAGTTTGTCAGTATCTCGAAGGAAGACTGTATTGAATCTTTGTAGTGCCATTTTTCCACTTGTCCAGTTCTTTTTTAGCTTCAGTTTTAAATTGGCTACAACTAGGTGGTGATCTGAAGCTACGTCAGCACCTCTCCTGGTTCTCACATCTTCCATTGTCCTTCGGAACTTTTTGTTGATGCAAATATGATCTATTTGGTTCTCTGTAGTGTGGTTCGGTGAGATCCATATAGCTTTATGTATATGTTTGTATGGAAATATTGTGCCTCCTATGACTAATTTGTTGAATGCACACGGATTTACGAATCTCTCCCCATTTTCGTTTCTTTCACCCAGTCCATGTCGTCCCATAATATCTTCATATTTGGTGTTGTCTATTTCGACTTTGGCGTCTAGATCTCCCATCAGAGTGGTGAGGCTCTTTCTTGGGCACTCCTCTATGATTGACTGCAGCCGCTCGTAGAATTGATCTTTAATGTCGTCGTTGCTATCATCGGTGGGTGCATAACATTGGATAATATTCATTGTGATCCCCTCCTTCTTTGTTTTGAAAGATGCTATGATGATTCTGGATCCGTGAGATTCCCATCCTACAAGTGCATTTCGTTCTACTTTGGACAGCATTAGAGCAACTCCCTGAGTGTGTGGAGCATTTTTCTCTTCGTGACCGGAGTATAGCAGCATCTCTCTTGTATTTAGTCTTTGTTGTCCAGCCTGGGTCCAATAGGTTTCGCTGATTCCCAGTACTGCCAAGTTGTATCTCCTCATTTATGTTTTAATATTTCAGGAAATATCAGTTCCCCTTGAGCTTGCAGATACATCTTGTTATGATTATCAAGCAGTGCATACATCTGATTCAAGAAATTCTCTCGAATATTATGAAAAAATTTGCTTTACTTCCAAACATTCTACATGTTTTATGCGCAACAGAAACATTATTTATGGGAAATAATTAGAGCAAAGTGGATCAGTTTTAGGTTATATATGTTTACATATAAACAAAGTTAATTATTTATAATAATCGTTCTCTGACCATTCGAAATATATAAGATGACAAGTCAGTATTTAATAAAAGCTTATCAGTTTTCATCTCAGTTGACCGTTTTTGTTTTGATTAATTCGGAATATTTTCTTTTAAATTCCGATTCGGTAATTCAGCATGTTGCTAAGTGACTGAAATACAATAGAATTTGCTTGAACTAGAATTTAGATACAGTGAATTTTTATATCATAGAAACATACCATTTAAACAAATTCAATTTTCCATTCATTCATTCATTACCTCTTGAAATAGTTTTTTTAATCTGACGATAAATATTAAAGTCTATTCATTTACTTTTTCCACAACACCAATTCCTCATTGGTTTATTAATATGAATGATAATATTGACGTTAAATTCGACTTTTTCATGTCCACTAACCAGTTAATTGTGATTATCATTTTATTTGATACATGTACTTTGATATGATTTTCGTTAAGGGTCTGTATTTTAGGTAGAGTTCAAATGTTGTATCATTACTTTGCAAGTAAATGAAAAAAAACTACAACTTAGGTTTAAAACGAGGCTATTACCAGGTAAACTTGGCTTCTTATATTATCATAAACATTGAAAATGTTCTTCGGAAAAGTTAAGGGGAAGGAATTGGTTTATAGAAACTATTGAGGACTGAATCGATATTTATTTATGTAGTCTATGTACGTCAGATAAAATGAACTTTATGTTATTAATCACCAGTAAATAAGTTATTCTTTTTTTGAATGGTAAAATATTAACAAATTAATCTTCAGATACTATCAGTTTTCGTGTACTTTGGAACGGAGGTGCGTATTTAGATTCAGTTAATCCCCAAGACCTTAG